CTAGCGCCCCAAAAAATTAAAAAAACAGCCCTGTCAGCCAATGATGCCATTTACTATAATGGATAATTGTAGCAGTAGTATATTTTACATCTATGGTGAAATTAATGTCGGTACATCAGCCAGGCATCCAATATATCAGAAATGTTGGTGCCTCCATGCTTTTGGGTGTGGGCTCTCTCTCCTGTCACCCACCCCCTACACCACCAGCTGCTTTACATCTTCACGTGGGAGTGTACTCCCCATTGACACCCATCATACCATAACAATAAACCTAAATAATAAAGTAAAACACAACAATGAATGTGGAATAACTATAGGCCGTGGCCCCTTTATTGGGTTTTAATCAATTTAACCAATAAATATACTTTAACCTCTATTACCAAGCAAAACCTCTGTTAACCATTAACAGACCAGCATGCTTAGTCACTACGACTAAAGCAGCAATAACTTACAGCAACCAAATTACCGTTCACCAACCACTGTCCACCCACAAAGTGGGCGACATTACCCAAACTGTTAACCATTAACAGTCCAGCATGCTTAGTCACTAAGACTCAAGCAGCAATAACTTACTCCAACCATTACCAGCATGCTTAGTCACTACGACTCAAGCAGCAATACTACCCCATAAAGGTTGACCAGGACAAGGGAAAGTACAGTAAAGGGGAGGGTGGGCGGGGAAGCAGGTGAAAAGATCCAAAAGGAATTCTGAAGATAATCCAGAGGTGAGTCCAGCTGGCAGTTCTGAGGTAACTGCTGACACTATCCACTGACAGGAATGACTATAGAGGGGAAAGGTTACACTCATTGGTCAGCTGTTTTCCCGCCAAAAGTTTCACCAATCCTGTGCTCAGCTGACTGAAAGTCTGTCCAGCAACTGAGGTAAATCTTCCTGGCAACAGCATGCAGCTTGTAACCTGAAAGACAAAGCAGAAAGAACCAGCAAAGCAGTGCCAGATAATGTACTTAACAGTTACCCCACACCTCTATTTGAATATAGTTTTTTTTTAAAAACACATGGGTGATAGGGGCGACAATCCCATGGGGCCACTTTTCTTATTTTGTTTTCGTGGCCTAACATTCTGTTGTATTTACCTGTTTACAACCTTGTGAGTGTTCTGGCCTGGGGTGGAGTCTGCCCTGTGGCTCGGATACCGCCCTCCCGGTTTTAGCAGAAACACTGGACTTGCTGTCTCCATGTTGGCACATGTATTGCCGTGGATATTCCTGAACAAGCGGAGTAATCTCTGCAAAATGTGTACAGTACAACATATCCAAATACAACCCCAGTCCTTGCTTTCTGTTTAGTGTGTTGTGTATGCATGAAAGATGGTTTGACTAAATTTTTTGGGGGTATTGGAGTTGGATAGTTATGGATGATAAGAAATTACATGTATACTAGTCCCAGAACTATCAAACTGCATATTTATGTATTTTTGCGATCACACTGGATTGCGAGCAGTGCGGTGCCACACATTCTGGTGCGGGTGATTGCACTGCGGGTGGGAGGCATGGCTCTGGTGCCATTGAATGCAGGGAGGCTTGCTCTATGCCATTCAGTGCGTTCCAACCAGTGGCGTAACAATCACCATAGCGACCCATAGGGTCGCTATGGCAACTCAGGCTGTCACTGGCGGCCGTGAGGAGGAACGCGCCGCTATTCACATGTGCAGCAGCACATTCCTCCTTACAGCGGCTGCTGAGTTGGTGACATCCAGCAGCTTCGGAGGAGGTGGCTGGGCCCATCATCTGCAGCGATGGAGGAAGCGGGGCCCAGCAATCGAGGAGGTGGGGCCCAGTGATGGAGGAGGCGGGGCCCACAAGCGATCATGGAGAAGGAGGCGGGCAGAGGATCGGAGCAGACAGGTAAGAGGGCTTGACCGCCCACCTGAGACCCTGAAGAGACCACCATAGAGAGTCTATGGTGGGCTCTGCAGGGTCACCCTCAGATGGGCTGTTTGGGTTATCTGGTGGGATTAACTAGAAATCACAGGGTCCCATACAAAACTTTGCTATGGGGCCCTGTCATTTCTAGGTACGCCCCTGGTTCCAGGCACTAACTACGCTGGAACGCACTGGATTTGGTGTGAACAAGCCCTAAAAGTTGAAGATTGTGAGAATTCCCCAAGCAAAGAAGTGCTGAATACAGAATACAAGGTGTTCTGTGAATGGACAAGAGAGGAAAGGGTGTGTAAACGCCAGGATTGTTCACTGCAGCAGCAGCATAACAGCAGTGTCTGAAGTCTACCGCTGACAGTAGTATCTGGCATATAATGAATGGATTATAAAGTAAACAGAAACGTAAACATTTTTCACCCGTTACAAGAGGTAACTTTTTTGCCTTAACCCCTTCCTGACCAATGACGGGATTATCCCATCATGATCATTCAGTTAGTTAACGACCGGTAACATGATAATCCCGACATGCGGTACAATGAGAGCTGGTCCGTGAAGAGACCAGCGCTCATTGAGTTACTGCTGTTGCTGAGTCCCTCGGGGTCCGAGGCAGACCCTCAACAGCAGATTATATGGTCACAGTCCTGTGATCACAGCCGTGACAGCCACAGAGTCGGCAGCAGCTCACTGTGTTGTGCAGCTGTGAGCCGGCTCTGTGTGTTACAAACTGATACAAAGTATCTCTAAGGAGAATACTGTATTCTGCTCAGAGATACTAAGTATCAAAGCCCCTGTAAATAAAATAAAAAAATAAGCCCTGCGTGCCCCCTAGTTTAAAAAAAAAAAAGGAAAATAAATGTTTAATAAAAATAAAGCGGTGAGGAGGCTATTAAAGACAGGAGACAAACATACCACATTCTCAAGTTATTCCACACTAAAATTGTATTTCAACTACTTTTGTTTTGTAACCTATAACTCCCAAAATAAACTGAAATCACAGACATGATTTGCCCTACAAATCAGGACAAATAAAATAATTTATTATAAATTACTTTCTGTTAGCTACACTAATTATGTACACATTCTTATTGCCAAAACTGTGAAAACAAATCGTTTTTTTGCATTTTTCTGTATTTAAAAAAAAATAAAAACAATAAGAATTTATATTTGCATATGTCACATCAAATTAAAGCCCATTTTGACCTTTAAAAAAACGGCATATAATATGCGTAGGTGCAATGCATGAGGAAGATGGAAATTATAAACAAGCATGTAGCAAAAATGGCAAAATTGCTCCGATCCCTGAAACGAAAACATTTTCTAAAGCTATGTCACTAAGGGGTGAAAGAAGAACTCCAGAGAAATTGTTACTAACCTTTGCAGTGGGCCTACCCCTGCACTGCACGCGTTAAGCGCTTGTTTTGGTCTAGAAGGGAACATAACAAAGTTACTTTGATCCTCGAAGCTGGCTTGCTCTTAAGCTGCCCATACACCTTACAATTATCTGCAGATTTTCTGTGGTCAGATGGAAAAGGTGCAACAGATTCCTCCATCTACATTAAACTGTGCGGATGGAGGAATCTCCACCTGGGCCAATCTGTTGCACTTTTTCCATCTGACCACAGAAAATCTGCAGATAATTGTAAGGTTTATGGGCACCTTTACACCGCTCCCTGGAGCTTCTCTCCCCCTCCACTGCAACAGTCTAAGGTCCCTGAGTCATCACATTCTATTAGGGCCGTCCCTATAATGAGGCAGCCTCATCAGGTGTGTGTGGGGGAAGGGTGAAGCTGGGCAACCTGTGACGCTTCTGTCCGGCTCCCCGCTTAGCTCACTGGTGTCATCAGTTGCCAGAGGGCTGAGCAGACACTCTGGCTGGCATCCCACTAAGCTCCTGGCAACCAGTGATGTCAGTGAACTGGCGGGGAACCGCACAGAAAGCAGCAGCCAGCAAGGCTCTAACACAGCCGTCCGTCCCACCGCAAAGCACCTCTCCCTCCCAGCAACACCCACCGCCACCCCCCAGCACTATTAGCAGTGCCTGCCGCCACCCAGCGCAATCTTCAGCAGCAGCCGCAGCATAAAGGGTAGGGATGGCCCTGTGTTCTATACACATTGGGGGGAATTTATCAAAACGGGAGCAGACAAAATCTGAAGTAGTTGCCCATAGTAACCAATCAGCTTCTCTCTTCAGTTAAGATTTGAAAATGAAAGGGAGAAGCTGATTGGTTGCCATGCACATCTGCTCCCCAACAGTGTATAGGATGTAAGGACGCCGTACAATCGCTGCTGCGTCGACAGGCCGATGGGAACGGTGTCACAGCCAGCCAGCTCCAAGGCGCGGGCGAGTATAACTTTATTTTCTTCCCTAGACCAAAACCAGCTCTTAACCCTTGAAGTGCAGGGGTATTTCCACTGAAAGGGTTAATATTTTCCCCCAAAGTCCTGCTTTAAGAATCTAGATTTGAAACATACAAAGGTGCATGGTCAAAGCAGGTGAAGCTCGGATAGTGCTGCATGAGCTTCTTTGCTCCCCAATCAAATGAAAGGTCTGCCATGTACTGACAAGTGGCCCTCACGGGCCCCACATGTCCCCACAATGCAAAGAACCATCTCATTGCAAATGTTTGAACCAGTCAAATGCATGTCAATGGAAGAGAGCATCCATACAAGCGCATGTTAACTGCACCCGTGTTGTCCATGCGTTCTTATGAGAGTAAAATGGTGTAAACGAGCCCACAGACGTGTGCAATGATATTAGACATGACATGCAGTGATTCCCCAGTGTCATAGCCTCTCCTCAGCCCTCCATACTCTGCGTCCTCAAGACCCACAGAGAAGCACCGCGACCACTCAGCTCACAGTCCGCGCTTCTCCCCAGACTGGGGGCGTGTCCCCGTGACGTCACTGGCTTGCTAAACCCGCTGGTCGGAACTCGTGGTTTGGAAAGCGCTCCGAGTCACGTGACGCGGGCTGATTGACAGCTCCAAGACAGGAGGGTAGACAAGAGCGAGGGTGCGGGAGGCAGATTTTCGGCCGGCAGTGTCTCCACTGCAGCCCTCAGTGATCGCTCGCCGTCAGACCTCTCCTCCCCTTCTCCGGGACTACTCTGCTGCCTTCTGCTGGGACTTTTTTTTTGGGTGAGAGAGTCGGCGAGGGAGGGACCACTTCCTTTCCAATGCTCGCAAAGTTTGTTGTGGAAATCGGAACCGGCCCGGACGGTGAGGGAGCTCCCCCACTCTTCTGTCGGCGCTGTGTGAGTACTTTGTGTGCACCTATGTGACGGATCTTCCGATGTAGAGGAGATCACACCCAGTGTATGTCACCACAAATCCTCCATAATGTATGCCGCTTTTGTTCGGAGCCGGGGAGGGAGAGAGCCCGGGGTGAGCCGGTGTGGTGAACCGGGGCGCCGAGCTGCTGTGTGTGATGGTCACTGTGGATGTCTGGCTGAATCCTTTGTACTGGAAGCCGGCTCTGATGTTGTGGAATTCACGGCTTCCATGCTTCTCTGGCTCTATAGCAATCCGGGGAGCCTGGACATGATTCTCTGTCAGAGAAACCCTATTATTATGGATTCATTCGGGGCTCAGTGAGAAGCATCTCCCCCATTAGATTGGGGCTCGGTGAGAAGCGTCTCCCCCATTAGATTGGGGCTCGGTGAGAAGCGTCTCCCCCATTAGATTGGGGCTCGGTGAGAAGCGTCTCCCCCCATTACATTTGGGCTCACTACAGTGGTGGTTGGGGAGAAGAATCCCCCCTCACTACAGTGGTGGTTGGGGAGAAGAATCCCCCCTCACTACAGTGGTGGTTGGGGAGAAGAATCCCCCCTCATTACAGTGGTGGTGAGTTTCAGCCACGTCAGTGGGACTTCTTGTCTTGCCAGCTTGAAAGACTGCTATAAAAAAAAATAAAAATAATAATCATTGGTGTCATGCTGCAAGTGGGGTTGGTCCCAAACCTACTTTATGTAGGCACCATCAGATGGGAGGTCCACCAGCATCAGCTGGAGGAGCCCCAGGTATCCTCTGGAGGAACCCTGGGTGACAATGGGTGGTCTATGTTGTGTGTATATAATGGGAATGGGCTATAACACAGGCTGTACTGAGACATGGCCGCATACCAACCCTCAATGTATTGATTTGAAGTGAATGCAAACCCTGACTGAAAATCACTTGCTTTGCTAGGCTTTTCTCCTAAATAAATATTTTATCTTGGTTTCAAACATTGTTGCATCTCATTGCTGCTGACTTCCTGCAGCCCCGTCCTGTCTACATGCATGCACTCTAGTGATGGCTGCATGGCATTTCTCAGGGTGGGTTTCCTGTTGGTGAGAAGAGTAAAACATGGCTGTGTGTCACCATTGCCACTTCCAGTCTCCATTGGGAGAATGTGTGACGTCTGTGCAAACCGAGCATGTATGTCTTTGCACTGATCTGAGAAAAAAGATTTGAGGTCAAACCATACCTACAAAACCTGGCCAATGCCCGAGGAAGGTCTAAGACCCCGTTCACACTGAGCGATTGTAGCGTGATTTCAGCTCCAAAATTGCTCAATGTCGCTCAATGTATCTTGTTCAATGCATTTCACTGGAGCCGTTCACATCTCACAGCTCAATGTCGCCTGTAGCTCGTCGCTGGAACATGACCTATTTTTCGGCGGATTTTGTGTGATTTGGCCCAATAGACTTTTTAATGGTGTAGCTCAATGTCGCGCTACAAAAGTGTCACTTTTTTGCACAGAAATATAAGAAGGAAGGAATGATGTCACATAAAGAACGCTTTTGATTGGTTACAGCCCAATGTAGCAGCTTCGAAGTCCCTGCGAAAAGTCGTTCTACGTAGCGCGACAAAATGTGCGCTGAAAAAAAGCTTTTTTGGATGTAGCTCAGTGTGAATGGGGTCTAACAGTGCCCAAAACGTTGTGCCATGTATGATTCCTGATGACAGAATAAATGGGATCATCCCGGAATGGCTGCGATGTACTCGGCTTGTTATGGATGAATAGTCTGGAACTGTCCACAGGTTTATAACGCCTATTGAGCTGCCCGTGATTACCAAAAGCTCATGTAGGTACCTGACCACCTTGTTTGTATTCCAAAACCTGGCTGCCATCAGAGCTCTGTGACTAGCTTTACAGGACTGATCATAGAGAGTTCGGTTGCATCCACACTGTTGTGGTATGTTGATGTGCTTTGTATTAAGACCACTCATTCATTTACATGGACTGCTGAACACGCCAGAGAAGGTGCTTGTATTTCTCGTAACTAAATTCTGCACAGCGCACAATGCTGCGTTTCCATGTGTTGGGGTGCACTGCTGTACAGGTGTGTTGGGGTGCCATTAAAGCAGAACCCTGGGCAAATTAAATCTTAACCTTTGCAGTAGGGCTACCCCCACACTGCAAGGGTTAAGTACTCTTTTTGTCTAGGTAGCTAAAATAACAGTTCTACTTACCTGAACCACGATTCCAGCTTGCTCTAGGACTGGTCCCTTCAGCCTCGCTCCCTCTCTACTCCAGCAGTCTAAAGTCCTGTGAGTCGTCATGTTCTATACAGTGTTTAGAAAGTGAGGACGCAGGAGGGAGCGGTGTAGGAACCAGCTGGGATCGCAGTCTGGGTGAGTATAACTTTATTTTAGCTCCCTAGACAAAACGAGCACTTAACCCTTGCAGTGTAGAGGTAGCCTACTGCAAGGGTTTAGCTTTGATTTGCCTGCAGTTCTGCTTTAAGAATGAATGGCAGAGCACCAGACCCCATATTGCGTGCATTACCGAAGCACAACCGTACAAACCCCGTGCCTGCTGAATGTATTCCTCTCCGTGTAATCTCCATGTGATCTAGTAGTTAAGATTTCATGGATGAACTTAGCCTGTGAAGCCGTTTGTGGAGTGATCCAATGTCTATTTCTCTGACAGACATTCCCCTGGCTGAACATTTACAAGGGATGAAATGAGCGGCCAGCTTGGCTTGGCCCCCAAGTGTCCCCCCTCCATAGGCCCTACATAAATATGCATGGTAATGAGAGCAATCTTCTATAAAATGATTTGGTCATTTGTATCTTGCATTCATGGCTAGCTGACATCGGAGGTCTGTACTTCTACCTGTGAAGGGCTTAAGCTGGCCATGCGCTCTGACTACAAGAGTGTGCCCTCTCGGGACCACCACCATTCTGGCTGCTCCAAAAATTGTCAGCTTCACACTGATTGCAGCCATTTAGCAGAAGTCACTGTTTGGGAATTCAAACCCGCAGCTGTTGGAATACATGGGGGAATCGATAAACCAATAGCGTTTTGTTTTGAGATGCCTAAATCTTTTAGTTTTAAAGGGATGGTTTACGTTTTCATGAAAGAGTGAACGCGCAACAAACTCTTTATCCCACCTTGTCCCTGTGCCACTTGACCACTGAAGGTCACGCAACCATGCTGTCAAATCACCACTCCCCATTGCAACCATTATGTTGCTATAGCCTCTGGGTTAAAGTATTCAAAGTGTTGAAGTTATGGGTGTCGAGGGTCAAGAGGAGGAAAGTGAGTTAGGTGTTTTGTTTTTTGGGGGTTTTCTTTTTCCGTCAATCCTTTTAATATGGCCTGGGTCAGGGCTAAGCTCATGTTTTCCTGGGCGTGCCTCTTTTAAAGAAGAACTTGGGGAAAAATTTGGCTAAGCCGGCACTCCCATATTTGACTCAAAGACAAGTTTTATTGTCAGGATTCCTTTGATGTCAGTGTATGTATGATGACACAAAGCAATCGACAAATAAACCCTTTTATGTTGTGTTTACTGTTTTCTTAAAGCCGGTAGTAAACCAATTGCACATAAATATAAAACAAGAGGAGCAAGGTTCTATTCTGCACATGTGTGAAGTGCTTGATTTTTTTATTTTTTTTTCTTGTTTCTTCTTCCTAAGGAAACGGTTAATGAAGACGGGAATGCGATCAATAGCGAAATATCTGCTCTAGCTGTACCAAGCAGTGATTACAAAGTACAATTTTGTTGGCTGAATGGAAGCCAAGACTTGGTGGAAAAAAGAGGGGGGGCCGCGTTCCGGGTATAGAGCAGCAAGGTCCTACTAGCGACTTGTTAATTACATCAAGGCAGTTCATAGAGTTGAAGACACTCATGGGAGTTTGGCCTGATTACATTTTAATGTGTCTTGTTGAGTGAAAGGGAAACGTTTCCTGGCAGGCAAGAGGTGCTGCAGCAGCTGTGTGACCTGAGCAGCCCATTGTGATTGCCTGATAGTTGGAATGTGTTTTCACGGGTGATTTATTTACACATGAGCGATAGGAAATGATTTGCAATAGCAGAGAAGACGCGGTGGATCTGGATGGAGCCCTGGTTACACCCACACAGATGTGTAGAAGATGCAAGCTGGATTATAAGTCAGGGGGGGGTGAAAAAGATATGGCTATTGTTTCCCTGCAGCTGAATGACAGCGATTTGCCTTGATGAGATCACAATTGCTGTATGCAGGTTGGATGTCTGATTGTTGTGTATCTGTTTCTATCTTTTGTTCTGAATTGGCCCACATCTCCTATGATTTAGGAATCCACTTTTCCAATTGGTACCATAAAAATGTGTATATATTCAGTATTGAAGGTCCTTTACCATGTAGGTGCAGAGATGCATTTTACAGATGTGGAAGGATTGAGTCACACCAGATGTGTTGGGGCTGCGCTGGCCCCCTTTTCCATCTCAGTCCAATTGTAATAGCTTTGTTTTCAGTAGTCTGGGTTCAGTCCTAGTTCACACCAGCCTCAGTGCGTTCAGGTCCAGTTCTGGACGGAATGCACTGGATCACATTCCATCCAGCTCACTTTGTTTTGGGGCGGGAGGGGGAATGTCCGTGCATTGAACTCAATGGCACCACAGCCACGCCCTCTGGCCGCAATGCAATCGGCCGCACCGAAATGCGTGGCACATCAGTGCCTGCGTTCTGGTCCGGTGCAATCAGATAAAAATGCTGCAAGCACTACCTTTTTTTTTTCTTCTGGACCGGAATGCAGGCACCTATGTGCCATGTGTTCTGCTGCGGCCAATTGCATTGCGGCTGGAGGGTGTGGCTTGAGTTCACTGCAATGCCCCCTCCCGTCCCAAAACAAAGTGAGCTGGCCGAAATGCGATCCGGTGCATTTTGCACCGAGGCTGGTGGGAACTAGCCCTGACACCAGCACTTTGCATCATGCTGTGGCTGTAGAACTGAATGAAGTGTCATGTGTGACATTTTCATTGATAGAAAATAAAAAGTTAACAGTGCA